CTGTTTTCTTCTTCTGAGCTCTCAACAAAACCACCCTTCATGTGAATAGAGGCTTTCTCCAGTATTCGTTTCTAAACTATTTCAGCCTCTACCCATTACCCAGCTCAAAGTCACTTCTACAGCTTTAGCTATTTGTTGCAGAAACAGTTGCAATTCTTTGTATCATTTTTTAAATCTTAGTCTGTTTTACATGGTTCTAACAGAATACCTGAGATTGGGTAATTCATAAAGAACAAAGCATTATGAGTATTCCTGCTCTATCATCCTAGAGTAGAAGGTTTGGGGGCAAAAAAAGGCAGGAGCAAAGCGAGGGAGGGCTGAACTCATTCATTATACCCTATCTCCCAACACCGTTGTATAGTGCATTAAGTTTCTGACACATGATCCTTGTGTAACAAATTCAAACCATATCAAGACATCTGATTCCAAAGCTCATGTCCAAATATCCAACTAGAACTCAAAGCATACCCAACTGTCTGCAGCCTCTGTAACAGGAACTGCATACTCCACTAATACAAATATAGAAAGCTATCATACAAAGCCACATGTAATTCTGATGCCACAGTTTTTCAGCTGGCTGTACAATGGGAGCCTGTGATCAACCTGACCTTTCCACAGTCTCTCCTTATAAACCTTTCACAGCCAGGTCATGACTGTTTTATTACTTTTATTTTTGGCTTTGTTTATTCTCTTCTGTTTTTTGAAACAGGCTCTTGCTATGCAGCCCAGGCTGACCTGGAACTTGCTGGGTAGCCCAGACTAACCTAGAACTCACACTTCTCCTGCCTCTATCACCTGAGCACTGGGAATACTGTCATGCAACACTCAGCTCTAGCCATTGTTTTTAACAGGTTTGGGCTGCTACATCTTCTCTCTCTTCCTCCAGCTCAACATGAGGATTAGCTACTCAACTACTGCAAACATCTTAATGTTGCATGAAAAATACCTTGGAACACATAATACTTTCTAATTGCTCTTGTTTTTTAAAACTAAAGAAACAAAGCCACAATACTGAGGCCAGTGACAATGGCATCAAAGGAGTTTCCTTAATGGTGCTACTTCTTTAAGCAATACAGGTGCTTCCCAGCCCAACTCAACATAATGTGTTGTGACTGGCTGGAGTTTTCTAAGTTTTTATGCCTGACACAAACCATCCATCTGTCCCCTTGATCTTGATAAACTTCCTAACATACCAGAAGCATCAATGAAAACATTTTAAAGTAAAACAGGAACTAAATGAAATAGAAATGAGTTAGTATTTAAGGATATGAGGCTATTTATGACATTTTTTCAGAAACTGGGAAAAAAACTCAATGTGGTTTTGTGATACTCAACAACTCTCTCAAAAGTAGAGTTGCTGGGTGCTGTTAGCTTATGCCTTTAATCCTAGCTACTTGGGAGAATTGCAGATTGATGCCAACCTTAGGTAGAAAGTTCCCGAGACCTTGTCTCAATGGAAAAGCTGGTTATGGTGGTACCTACCCATCATCCCAGCTACTGTGAGATACGTAAACAGAAGGATCTCAGCTCAGGCTAGGATGGACAGAAAAGGTAAAGCTTCTTTTCAAAACTACCCATAGTAAAAAAGGGCTAAAGGCTCAAACGGAGAGTGCTTGCCTACCACCACAAAGTCCTGAGTTTAAACCCAAAGACCACAGGGGGAAAAAAAAAAAGAAATGAGAGTCAATTTTATTTATTTTTTGACCAAATAAGTAAAAAATACAACTTCCCTTTCTTGCTCTATTATTATCCAGAGAGAGAAATGAAGGTTTACTGTTATAGTCCATTCTGAGTGAAGTTTGCTACTTTAAGCAAAAATGAATCCTTTTCTAACAGACTAACTGGACGTTTACTCATTTACTATAGATTTAAAAAAAAGTCCTGAAGCTCAGTTTACAGGAATCTTTAATTATTTACTATGAGTGAGGGCCTGGAGAATTTCTTAGGCATAGAAAGAGCTGTGAATTTGGTTCATGAAGAATTATTTGTACTCAAAGCAACTTATGATATAAACTGAATGCACAAACATAGGAGGACTCCTGGTGTTAGTACTAACAGCTTAATATTCTGCCAAAAGGAGAGCTTTTTTTTTTTTACCAAGACTTGTGAAAATTAAAAGAAGTGCTCAGAAACAAGGGAGACATCTCAATGATGACCTACCAAAGAACAGATGCGAGAGGTAATCCCTGCCTGCAGTTCCTCATGAGGAAAACAGACAGGATTGACGTCCTCCTCCTCCTCCTGCTGCCACTGCCCATCTGAGGGCTCCCACTGCAATGCAGACATGACTGTCTGCTCTCACCTGCCTACCAGATTTGCTCTCAGGTGAGTTTCTGACCCTATAAAAAGAATTACTACTAAGCTTTCTCAGAGAATAACTTCTTCTGATGTTATCTTTTATACAAAATGCTAAAATTTACTACATCACTCAACAAATAAATATCAAGCACTCAGACAATATTCTAGGACCCGGGGATGGAGCTGTGAAAAAAATAAAGGAAAATGACCACTAGCTCACTGTTCAGGGAATGAAACAGCCTGCTCAGGGAATGTTGCTTATAAAGCAAAACATGCTATACAAGGACCCTCGAGGCACGTGCTCCCAGCAGATCAATTCTGGTGGCTGGATTTACAGCAAAGCAGGCTCTGTATGATGCATGACTTCAATTTTCATTTAAGTTAGTAAAAAAATCATGGTTCACTTTTCCAAAAGCATTCCTTTTTAGATGACATCCTTACAGAGCAAGGTCCTCCTCTACCTTCCTTGTAGACACAGGTTAATGCAGTTTAACAGAAAAACAATATGCTTGACATATTAGTGTGAGTCTTATTTTAATGAGTCGAGGGTCTGGAATGCGATTTTCATGTTCTGTGAGAAGACAATCTGATGAAAGCAAGACTTAATTCCCTCAAAGCTGGTCTAGCTTCATGCCAGGAAATGAAAACACTAGCTCTTGCTGGGCTACATTTTCAGGAAAAGGGCACCACAGAAGGTCCTCGAGCAGGGCATGCACCTACCAGTGGCCATCGTTCCATGATTGTGCAGCTGCCCTCACTTCCTGGGGACATGTTCTTCCCTTTCAGAGTCAAGGGCTCAAAGCTGAGGGCTGAAAGCAGGGGACTGAGGTGTTCAGAAATTTAATTAGAATGTGTGAAACAAAACGGATCTATGGCTTAAAGCTACTCCAGAAGTGTGAAGAATAATGATTGTTTTTGAGAACTCCCATTTCCCAAGAACGAACACGCCTGGGGAAAGATGAACTGCTTATTTTTGTTGTTGTTATTATTTCCTTTTAAATATTTTTTCAAGTGTTTTGCTAGTAAGGCTTCCATAGCTTTTGCTAACAAACTTTTGCCTTTACAAACAGAGATTTCTCCTTATATATTCATTTGACCAGAGCAAAGACTTGCTTGACCATGGAGAAAACTAATACATGGATCTGCAGTGGAAGTGCCATCTTTTCTATTTAAAGCCACATTCTTGACATTGTAAGTCAAGAAGTGATTTATTAAGGCCTCTTTGAAATCCTGCTCAATTCAGCAGAAAGCACAGGCTGGAAGGAAACTTGAGGTCCTTGTGCTACAAGACAGATTAGCGTAATTTAGTACAAAGCATATTGTGGCAAGTTCTACAGCAGATTAATCCCAGCTGGTAGGTGTAGAATAGGGGTTTCGAGGAGTTTCTGGCAGAAATGCAGGTGATGGGAAGAGCATTTGAGGCAGAAGGAAGCAGATGAACAAGGGCATAAAAGGGTGTTTGGGGAGAACAGGCAAAAATGGCACAGAAGTATGTAGAGGCTGCTGCTGGGAGGACCCAGTTACAAATCCTCTCAGATTCACACTGGAATTTCAATCAGAAGGTAAATGGAAGGTGGGTGGCTTATGAAGGGGACCCCAGGGCAGCTGTTGAACACAGCAATGACATCAACTGGGTTGAGCTTCAGAAAAACAACTGGAAAAGGATGTAGGATGAACTGAAGAAAGGAGAAACAGCAGGAGTCAACCACCAGGCAAAAGTGTGATCTGAGAAAGCCAGATTGAATGAGAGGACTCAACAAAGCAATGACAGTGGTAGGGTAGGGGCAAGTGGGAGACTCTGCAGAGGTGGGTTAGGATTTGTGTGCTCACAAATCTAAGAGGAAGCAGGACAGTGTGATGGGAATGAAGGAGAATAGTAAGTGGAATGAAAGGAGGGTGCTGCACTGAATAAGCACAGCTACAGATGGATTCAGCACATGCAACAGAAAAACATACGGCAGAAGTTGAAAAATAATGGATTCTTTCTGTTTTGGATTGTATGCTACCTATTTTTTTGAAGACACTAAAGATGGTGACTAAGAAGGACTTGGAGAATCTGGACACTAATTTAGGAGAAAACTTAGCCATTTGGAAACATTTGGAAATATATTGCTTTCACCTTGCTTCTAAATTTTCTGCTTTACCACACCATAACACATGGGGCCTCACCATTCTTTCTAATAAACAAATAACCACACTCATTAAAGCATATGAATGCACCACACTTAATTTATTAATCCCTTTCTGAAGGGCAGTGAGTAGCAGGAAGAAGAATGCACTGGTGTCACTTAATAGCAAAAATGTGCAGGAAAAGCTGATGCTTCACATCTCCATGTAGCTCATTTTCTCTGCTATGTTTTTTTTTTTTTTCCTCACTCAAACCCTCCTGGAAAAGACAGAGGGACATGAAAAGCAGCTGTCTATCTTGCAGGTCCCTCCATTGTTCTTTTCTTTTAATTGTAGACACTTTTCCAATGAGGCAGGCTATCTGCTTTCAAGTTTATAAACTGGTTGTCACTCTTTGATGTTTACTTGGAACTAAACAGAATCACAAACCTAAGGGGCCACCAGGACCAGTGCTATGCTAGGAGGTCCAGCCAAGACCAAGGTAAGCTCTCCACCATTACAGTAACTGTTGAAAGGTTTCTGCCTCAGGGATGAATTGTAAAACAAGCATTTATTAACATCTAGGTTCACTATACCTCAAACTCCAGGTAGTGCTCTTTCAGCTTGTACTCATCTACATCCTTGGCTTTAACCTTCTTGTCAGGGGGATATGAGCGGTGCTCAGCCAGCTCGGTCGTAATCTGCTTCAGCTTGCTTTCATGGGACTTCAGCTGTTCCTCCTGTAGGAAATAGTCATTTAGTGTGCAAAAAATAAATCAATAAGTATGTATAAAGTGCTTTTAAAAATCCCTACGTCGAATGACTAATTCATAAAAATAGTTCAGTGTCTCTGTTTCTACGTCATTCCAACTTCATGTCAGCATTACTATATTCTTTCCTGGGATGGCAACTAAGGCCCTCCTCCCTAACTAGGCCCCTTATGACAAAGTCAAAGTGCTTCAGAGCTCTCTATTAGCAGTAACTGTCACTGAGCTGGACCAGGCCTCTTAAGAGAAACTCTGACAGGCAAGTCACCAGATGAACAATTAAGTGCCTAGCCTTAAAGCCATACAACTTAGCTTCTCCATTTCATTCACTCAGCAATGCTGCCAATCCCTCTCACCCCCAATCTAGCATATTGAATGAGCATGTATCAGCACATTTTTTTCCTCCTTTTTGAGATGAAAACAGGTCCTCTCTGAAACCTATCAGAAGGTATTTGAAAAAAATATGCAGCTGTTTTTCCTCTCCAAAGTAGCAGAGAATTCTCACTTCCTTCAACCTTTGACCCAAAGTAGTCATTCAATTCTAATGTCATTGTTGAACGATTACCACCTGAACAGCATTAGTATAGGTGCCAGGCACCAATGTAACACACAGCTGATTCTACACCACAGAATGCCCATTCTAGGGTACCATTCATACCACTTTAGCAGTAAGCTACCTAAAAAGATATGCTACTGAGCTCTCTTTGAAACATGGAAACATTCTTGAAACAAAGATACTTGAATTCTTTTGCATTTTTAAAAATTCATTTACTCATATGTGCATACATTGTTTGGGCCATTTCTCCCTCCCAGCATCTCATTTTTTTTTTTTGGTGGCACTGGGGTTTGAACTCAGGGCCTCACACTTGCTAGGCAGGTGCTCTACCACTTGAACCACTCCACCAGCCCTTCTTTTGCATTCTAAACTTGTGTGACTGCTTACTTTTCTATCTTCTCATGTAAATTATCTAAGATCTTGAGCATAAATTTCACATGTACAATACAAAATAAATGAATGAAGGCAAACAAAGAGAAACTGATTTATTTTTTTTTATTTTTTTATTTTTTGGGAAGTTTTTTTTTTTTTTTTTCATTTTTCTTTTATTATTCATATGTGCATACAAGGCTTGGTTTATTTCTCCCCCCTGCCCCACACCCTCCCTTACCACCACTCCACCCCCTCCCGTCCCCCTCAATACCCAGCAGAAACTATTTTGCCCTTATTTCTAATTTTGTTGTAGAGAGAGTATAAGCAATAATAGGAAGGAACAAGGGGTTTTGCTGGTTGAGATAAGGATAGCTATACAGGGCATTGACTCACATTGATTTCCTGTGCGTGGGTGTTACCTTCTAGGTTAATTCTTTTTAATCTTACCTTTTCTCTAGTTCCTGGTCTCCTTTTCCTATTGGCCTCAGTTGCTTTAAGGTATCTGCTTTAGTTTCTCTGCATTAAGGGCAACAAATGCTAGCTAGTTTTTTAGGTGTCTTACCTATCCTCACCCCTCCCTTGTGTGCTCTCGCTTTTATCATGTGCTCATAGTCCAATCCCCTGTTGTGTTTGCCCTTGATCTAATGTCCACATATGAGGGAGAACATACGATTTTTGGTCTTTTGAGCCAGGCTAACCTCACTCAGAATGATGTTCTCCAATTCCATCCATTTACCAGCGAATGATAACATTTCGTTCTTCTTCATGGCTGCATAAAATTCCATTGTGTATAGATACCACATTTTCTTAATCCATTCGTCAGTGTGGGGCATCTTGGCTGTTTCCATAACTTGGCTATTGTGAATAGTGCCGCAATAAACATGGATGTGCAGGTGCCTCTGGAGTAACAGTCTTTTGGGTATATCCCCAAGAGTGGTATTGCTGGATCAAATGGTAGATCGATGTCCAGCTTTTAAGTAGCCTCCAAATTTTTTTCCAGAGTGGTTGTACTAGTCTACATTCCACCAACAGTGTAAGAGGGTTCCTTTTTCCCCGCATCCTCGCCAACACCTGTTGTTGGTGTGTTGCTGATGATGGCTATTCTAACAGGGGTGAGGTGGAATCTTAGTGTGGTTTTAATTTGCATTTCCTTTATTGCTAGAGATGGTGAGCATTTTTTCATGTGTTTTCTGGCCATTTGAATTCTTCTTTTGAGAAAGTTCTGTTTAGTTCACATGCCCAATTTCTTTATTGGTTCATTAGTTTTGGGAGAATTTAGTTTTTTAAGTTCCCTGTATATTCTGGTTATCAGTCCTTTGTCTGATGTATAGTTGGCAAATATTTTCTCCCACTCTGTGGGTGTTCTCTTCAGTTTAGAGACCATTTCTTTTGATGAACAGAAGCTTTTTAGTTTTATGAGGTCCCATTTATCTATGCTATCTCTTAGTTGCTGTGCTGCTGGCGTTTCATTGAGAAAGTTCTTACCTATACCTACTAACTCCAGAGTATTTCCTACTCTTTCTTGTATCAACTTAAGAGTTTGGGGTCTGATATTAAGATCCTTGATCCATTTTGAGTTAATCTTGGTAGAGAAACTGATTTAAATAGGAGATAAATATTTTATATAACATCAACATAATTTTAGCATCAAAAATTTTTCTTGCAGAGTGAGGGAACTAATTTAAAAACTACCAGAAAATTAGAAATTATGGACATTAAATTAAGATTATATAACATCATTGAAAAATTTTTAAAAAGGTATGCAGAAATAATGAGTCACATATAGTATCTTAGGAACTTCTGTAATAGTGTACATCTTAAAAGCCAAACAATGAAAACAAATTCCAAGTCTACAGCCATCAAAATAGAAGAAAAAAATAATAAAAAGAAAAAAAGCAGAGTATACTGGGCAAAAACTGAACAAAAGAGGTGGCAGAAAAATAAGCAGTGAATGAATGAATGAAAGATATGACATTAATTTTAAAATACCAATTAAGACAAAAGAAACAAGTCTCTGGAAAATGTGGGGGAAATAAAAAGATATCTACTCTGAGACTTTAGAAAGGTTATACATTTCCAAACCCATCATTCATACATCAATAATGCTGGAAGTCAGTGAAAATTCTTCAGGGAGCCTTTGTATATTATTTCTCATTCATCTATTATATTCTCCTATGGAGACTACAGACAATGTTATGGATGAATGTGTCTCTCCAAAATTCTTATGCTGAAGCCCTAACCCCCTACATAGCTGTACTTGAAAACTGGGACTCTAATGATTATAATTAAAGTTAAATGAAGTCATAGGATGGGGTCCTGACATACAGGATTATTGTCCTTAGAAGAAGGAACACCAGACAGTAGAATCTTTATGTGCAAAGGAAAGGCCAGGTGAAGACACATCAAGAAGCCAGCCATCTACAGCCCAACAGGGAACGATCACCAGACTCTGACCCTGCTGGCACTCTGATCTTGGCCTTCTAGTCTCCAGACTGAGAAAAGAAATGCCTGCTGTCTAAGTCACCCATTGTATAGTATTTTCTTATGGCATCCTGAGCTGACTGTACACTATCAATAGTTTTAATTTCTATCAAAATTGCTTTCCATGTGTATCTACCACAACTTAATAGAATTTTTTGGTAAAAATATTTGGTGACTAAATTACTTTGAAGGATTAAAAACATGTATTTTTCTAATTTTTAAATAAAAAAGCCCTATTGAATGGTACATACACACACACGTATACACACGCTCTAGGCTCCTGCCTCTACCCAATGCCTACATATGTATTACAATTTTGTTGAAGGATTATTAGGATGTTTCTAGCTTTACTTATTTATTTTTGCTATTATAAATGATATCATGATATACATTCTTATACATGTCTTAGTGAATATGAGGAAGAATTTTTCCACAGTAAATCACCGAGTTATCACATTGTACCCCATAAATATATAATTATTTGTCAATTGCAAATTTACAGATTTAATTTTTTCCTTTTCATATAGCACTTTGACTTTGAAGGAAATTTTATATTCTTTAAAAATTTAAGGGCTGGTGGAATGACTCAAGTGGTAGAGTGCCTGCCTAGCAAGCATGAAGCCCTGAGTTCAAACCCTAGTACCGCCAAAAAACAGCAAAAAAAAAATTAACTTTAAATTGGGTGCTGGTGGCTCATGCCTGTAATCCTAGCTACTCAGGAAGCAGAGATCAGGATGACAGTGGTTTGAAGACAGAGTAGGCAAACAGTTCGTGAGACCCTATCTCGAAAATATCCAACACACAAAAAAAGGGTTGACAGAGTGGCTTAAGGCTCCAGCACTGGAGTGCTTGCTTATGAAGTGTGAGGCCCTGATTTCAAACTCTATTACCATGGGAAAAAACCCCAGAACTTTATTTATTTATTTACATATTTATGAATGACACAGGGGTCTTGCTATGTTGCCTAGGCTGGCCTCAGACCCCTGGACTCTGTAGATCTTCCTGACTTAGCCCCCCCAAGTAATTGAGACTATAGATGCACATCACCACACCTGGCTTTATAATTTTGATTAGTACTTATTAATTAAAATTTCGCCACATGCGTACAATATGCAGCAATCAAATCTAGCCTCCACTGGCTCCTTCTCAACCTCTAGTAATCACTGTTCTAACATTCAGGTTGACTCTTTCAACTTCTACATATGACAGAGAACGTATATTATATTTCTTTGTGTCTGGCTTATTTAACTTAACATAATATCCTCTAGTTCCTTCCATGTTGCTGCAAATGACAGGATTTCACTCTTCTCTATGGCTCAGTAACGTTCTGTTGTGTATATGCAGCACATCACTCATCCACTGATGGGCATATCTTAGCTACTGTGAACCATAAACACGCACATTAAGTATCACTTTGGAATGCTGACTGCATTTTCTTTGGATATACACCAGAAGTGAGACAGATGGACAGGTGAGATTGGGGGACATTATTAACTCACCTTATAACCACTCACAAATGCTTTGGTCAGTATAAAAGGGGGTCCTAAATAGATCCTGAAGGGGGCCAACTACATTTGGAGAGCTACACTAGAAGGAGGCAAAAAACTTGAATTTTCAAACTAGTATCTCTACCCCAAACAGAAGACAAATGTGCCCTGGCAACGCTGTCATGAAAAACAACTAGAGAAGGTGACTCCTACAAATAAGAGCTTTTCAGGAAGAACCATGCGGAACTGACAATGATCAATTCTAATAATTGAGGTTAATATGTTATGGACAGAAGACAAGAATAAATTAAAGCAAAACTCACAAATGACAGAGCGTTGAACCAATGTGTCTTAAAAGTACCAATTATTTAATTGAATGCTCCTTTTTTCCTAACGCTGTTTATCTTTTTCTTACAGCATGGTACTCACATTGTTGCAACATACAATTAATAAACTGAAGTTATCAAAGAGGTTCTGGTATTTAGGAGAGGCATGGCCAGGTTGAAGGGGTGCATAGAGAAAGGACAAAAGGAGATGAGTGCACCTTAACCTTGGAGGACATTTGACAATGTCACGCCATACTATATTCATTACCTTTGAAAATTAAATGCCATTCTGCCATGTAAGTTCAGCAGGTTTGGTCCTTTTCTACTCCTAAGAGCATAGTATGAACTACACAGTAATAGCAATGCTCATACAGTAAGAATGCAATACCTGTTAATACAAACTATGAATGAAAAATGAAACAATCTTTCCTGAAACCATGTCTCCTCTTTTCTTCTTACTAGTTTTTCTGTTTCTCAGAACTTATGGCAAGATTTGGGGACATTCTCTATCCCCAGTTCCACACTCATTCCATTCCTCTGTCAAAGACCAACATGGTTTCTGTTCCTATCACTCCACCAAAACCATGTGTGACCCTGTGATATCCCCACCAATTAACACAAGTTATTTTTTAATAATAAAATTTTACTTGACCACACCCCCTTCTTTTTGGTGGTACAGTAAACACTCAATAAAACGAATGAATGAAGGAATGAATGAAAACCTTTCTAGCAAGCCAGGATATCACCCTAACATTAGCCAGTTATTGAAAAATTATGAACTGCTAAAAAAAAAAAATAGGCAAACATGACCAAGGTGTAAACCCAGTAGCTTGTACTTTGCTCCATTCATATAATATGACCTAACATGGTCAGGTCTCTCATCTGTCCTCAAAATAAGGCACACTTTTAAATAAAAATAAGATTACAAGGTATCTTTCCAAGTGCAAAGCTCCATCACAGTGACTTACCTGAGATAATTTTGTGGTAGTGGCAGGCAGAAGTGGGCGGCTGAACTTCTTCTGGGAGCCAATGGCAGCTGGAAATGGAGGTGCAGAAAACACAGCTGCAACACAATTGATTTTGTTTATCCATCCTTGCATTTCCTCCAGACTCCTAGGAGAAACAGATACATTTACGTTCGGATATTTCTACATCTAAGTGCAACACAATTTGACTATTTCTTATTACTTATTAAAATGGCACCTAAAATAATTTATTCCTCTTGGTATGAAACTTCCTTAGAGACTAAGATTCTCAGCAGTGAGCACCATGGCAGTGAAAGGTTCTAGAACCCATGGATATTGTAGTGGAAGACTATGATTATCTTTCTGGTTACAAAAGGAGAAAAATAAATATATTTACTACATCGCTACTTTCTATGTGATACTAGTTGGTCAAAAAAATTCATCTCTTTTAACCAGATACGTTTATTTTACAATCTAACTGAGACCACACCCTGGTACAGGGAACATAAAAGTGTACGTCCACTGTGAAAAAAAAATTGAAGGTTTCTTCAAAAAATTATAAATTCACCACACAACCTAGTAAATTCTACAGCTAAGTAGGTACCTAAGAGAGGAAAAAAACCCATAGCTATACAAAGATTTGTATGTCTAATATTTACAGCATTTTTATATCCTACAAATCAACTAGTGAATGGATAAGTAATTTTGTAAAACCCACACAATCAAATAATATTCACCAAAAAAAGTGTGAAGTACTAGAAGGATGGAAAATTCCCTGCCCCACCCAAACTATGCTAAGTGAAAGAAGCTAGGCACAAAAGTCCATATATGATATGATTCCATTTACATGAGATGTTCAAAAAGGCAATGTTACAGAGATAAAAAGTAGATTAGTGGATTAGTGGGTGTCTGGGGCTGGGATAAGAATGGGGACTGATTGCAAAATGGGTGAGGGCATCTCTTTGGAATAATGAAAGTGCTCCAAAATTGGACTGTGCACCATTCCGTAAATTTACTAAAAATCACTGAAATATACATTAAAAATAGGTAAGATTTCATGGCATATAAGACTTCATGAGACTGTTAAAAAATTCATGTGAGAGGAGGTGGAAAACATCTGATGTCATGATTCTATTTTTAATTTATATTGTCATTATCCCCCAAAGCTCTCACTGATAGCACTTAACAAAAATTGACATATTCATACATGAGTGGTAGAATAGTCATGAATCAAGAAAGATTATCTGCCAGGTATATGGTTAATAAACAAAAAGAAAAGATGTTATCCAAATCTAAATCCCAGTAACCTGAGACCAGAGTAGATATCAGCTCCTCAGTGCATCCTATATGCGTCTCTAGTCTCATCTCTCCAGCTTCGCTATTTCCATCGAATGACTTCTGCATCAATTCTGCCTAAAACCATTACCTCTCCCAAGCTATTATATCCAATATTTTAGATTTTAAAAACTACTAGGGGATAAAATAATTCGAAGGACTCTTTATAACTACAGCTGTAATTGTGCATCTAGCAATGGGTCACTTTGTGGTGTTAACTGTTCTATTTCCACACTCTAAAAATCCTGAGTAAGTTGTTTGTTTATATCTAATGTCAGCCATTTTATACCTTTAAAACTTCTAGAGTACCAGGTACTTGTTCTCATTTTGTTTTTTGATCTTACATTGTTTTTATTAACAAGCATTTACTCTCTTTTTATTTATTTATTTAATTTTAATTTTAATTTTTATTGTTTTATTATTCTTATGCGCATACAATGCTTGGGTCATTTCTCCCCCTGCCCCCACTGCCTCCCTTACCACCCACTCCGCCCCCTTCCTCTCCCCCCTACTCTCTTGATGTCAACTGGGGTCAGCACAGAGTATGATGCTGTGGGTGAGTCTGAAGTCAAGCTCAAGCCACGAATGCCTGACAGACACTGCCACAGACTAAGGCTCTGTGTGATCTCTGTGGAAATTCCTGCTCTAGGGGTTCTGTTTTGAAAAATCCAGTTTCTTACTTCACAATTCCAGAATTCCTCCTGTAGAGGATTAAACATCTAATCTGAAGTCTACCACTGGACCTCTGATTAAACTGGCAATTCATCTTATTTCCTTGTTCACAATAAGATTTTTGTCTTTTGTTTCTAGTATAAACACAGACTATGAGCTCAGAAGGAAAGGGAAATAGGAGTAAGATGAAAATTTACATTTATTGACAATTTTGTACATACCAGACACTGTGTAAGGTACACACTATCTCATTTAATCCTCACCAGAACCTTTGAGATAAACATTATCTCCTTCGTAGTAAATTACGGTTCAAAAAAGTTAAAAAATTATGTGCTAGGAGAAAGAGCTAGAGAATGGTAACTTGAATTCCATCTACTTTACTCTTTTTTGTGATAGAACTTGTCTCCTAAAATTCTATTTTATTGATGAGGTTCTAGAATGGAAGTTGCTAACTGACAGCCACAGAAAAACCTTGAACCCAGGGTTTCACCTTCTTTCCCTTCTTCTTCTCCCTCCCTTCACTCTCTTCCCCCCTCCATTCCTTTCTTTCTTTCCTTTTTGGTAGTCTTCTTCAGTTGTTTCTCTGATGTAATTAATTCATGACACTGTCACCAACTTAAATTCCCCTACAGAGCTCGATTCTATTCCTTAGTATAAAGTGGTGTTAAGCAAACTAAAACAAGAACCAAAGCATGAGCACATACTGGGTTTGAAAAAGCAAGACCCTCCAGTCGGCAGTTTTAAGTTTAAACACATTGGGCTTCTTCTCGTAGTCGGTGGCCTTGGATGCCAGGGCGTGGTGCACACTCACGGCATTTTTCAAGTCCTCTTCGGACAAGGCCTTTTCTGGCTTATATTCATCCTACAGATGGATACAAGGAAAACAAATGATATTTTCATTGGCCAGATTTCAATTCTCTTTTTAAAACCTAAAACTCAAGGAAAGAAAAGTTTAAAAAAATCCATGAAAGTGCAAAGAAAAAGCAAAATGAACGGTGAGTAAAAACCCTTTGCCACGCCTGTAATCCTAGGATTTGAGCCTGGGGAAGGAGGACCACAGGTTTGAGGCCAGCCTGAGCTACATAGTGACACCGTTTTAAAAAAACAAAAAACAAACAAGTGACAGATGCATTGCAACCTCATAAAGGTCACAGAATAGCATGCTGTTTAAACATGCTGTGAATGAATGAGTACATACGCATACCCAAGAGGCATTTTATAAAAAGTTGGTATCTAATGGTTAAGGCAGATAGTTAAGAAAAGCCATCACACAAATTTTGCAGGGGTTTGAAATGAGGCTCGGTCCAATAGGTGGCAAGATTTAATTTCAAGATTAAACGGATAAATGCAAATGAACAGTAAAATAAAATGAGTTCTCCAGCTCTTTTGCTGAAAGAAGAGGTAAATCAATTTAATAAATAAGACAAAGCTTAGCTCTACTATCATCAATTAAAAAATAAATGTATTATGTCATGTATATAGGTAATTTTATTTTTGGACCTCAACTACATAGTTCAGACCTTTAAAAAGTTTCTTAGTATGGCTACCCTTCAAACAGAACAACAAAAATCTTAACTAGACTTTCAAACAAGTTTAACTATTATTTCTAGTAGTTCCTGGGTTCATTAGAATTAAAATACATAAAACCAATGTAAACATACCAGATATATACCACACATGCTACAAACTGTTACAGGAGATGTTTTCTACAGATGCTGATTTCATTAAAAGTAAGGTAGGATGTTAAATAAAATTTATTCCTCCTATAAAGAACAGACACACACACACACACACACACACACACACACACACACACACACACACACACACACACACAATCATGTTCTCATTAGTAGTAAAAGCCAAAAGGGAGACTTCTGTTCTCTTATCAGCCTGATTTTACAAACTGTCTCAGATTAATGAGATCACTTCACCATCCTAATAAGCACTATTGTGGTTTCACAATATTATTTATTTTAAATTCACTTAAAGCATGGCATGAAAAGCATTTTTTCTGTAGGATGTTTGCTAATTAAACCTCTTGTAAAAGTTGAATTACAACACCCCAACACAAAAATCACCTAAATATGCATAAATAATTGGCAATCAAGTCTGAAAACTTGTATTTTCAGGTAAATATAAAGTACAATTAAAAAAGTAACCAAATTTCAATTGAAAATCATCAACATGAATTAAAAACATATTGAGATTTTTGTTTTTCAAAGTATTATTTACCTCATGCCTTATTAAATAGGTAAAACTACTGCATGCATTTTTTTTTTTGGTGGTGGTGGTGGTACTGGGGCTTAAAAACAGGGCTCTCATCATGAGCCACTCCAGGATCCCTTTTTTGCAAAGGATTTTTCAAGATAAGATCTCATGGAACTATTTTCCCAGACTGGCTTTGAACCATGAACCTCCTGATCTATCCCTCTTGAGTAGCTAGGATTACAGGCATGAGCCACTAGTGCTCAGCAAAATAATTTTTTAAAAAGTTGAAATAGTCTTGATTTCCACTGAGAGAATATATAGTAAGGGGAACTGAGAACTGAGAACTTGCTCTTGCTTACAGCTATGAGGATATTAGTAAAAATACCAGTACTAAAGTAAACTGGATCCTAAATTATCTATTAATTTCTGACTTTAAAATGGTATTAAAAGTGTTTTTTCCTAATTTGATATCTTTTTAAAAAAATTATAGTATTTCTGGTTATTGTTCTAAAAGTAACTCAGCTTCATCCTTCTGGTTTTAGCAGAGAATAGAGAAGTGTCACATTTTCAAAAATCTGGAAGCTGGGAGAAAACATCAAGTTAAATGAAAACACGTTTTGGTCCACTACCAACTAACGTATTATTTGAAAATCACTTAAGTCACAAATTTTAAAGCTGAACAGAGCCTGGAGTTTCATTTAATCTAATTTTCTCATGTTATATAAGCAATGTTGTAGTCAGAAAAATGCACCCCTATATTACTGTAGAAAGGAGAATTAATAGGAAATAAGCCAAGTCAAGTCAAAAGATTCACAATTTTTATATGAATCTGTTCAATTAGCAGGCATTGAGCATCTGTGTTCCACAATAAAACGGTGTCATTGAACCCTCTTCAATCTACTGAGGAGGCACTAACAGACCCAGTAGGACTGGAAGTGTTCTCTCAATAAGGCCTCAGGTTCCAGGGAGGCCCAGGAAAATTTCCATGATAAATCTGACAAATGAACCAGATTCAATGATTTTTAGAGTTGCATGGGAAGGGGGTTACAATAGATGACTGCAGGATTTGCAAAATGATTATAAAATTTCTTCATTCAGTATCTGAAGAAAAAAGTCTCAGCATTCATTCTTCTAATTTTCCTATTAACGAGGAGGTGGGGGGCCTTTTTCTGCCTCCCCCAGTGCATGCCAGGTCTCTCCAACATACTGTTAAGGGCTATGCTTACATCGGTGTGACCGTGCTGTCTTGTCTGTCCACTATCCATCTCACTCCCATAGATAGAGTCCTACCCCTGTGACACAATGACTATTTCATATTTTTCCTCTACAACTTTCACATGATTGTGTGGGAGTAATATTTACACAAAGCAAGGAGCAGGTGAATGGAATGAGGGGAAGGCAAGGAAACATGAGAAAAAGGAAGGAAGGAGGGGAGGAAATAGCCATGTTGAAGGGAAGGAGGGAAATGAGGAAAGTGGTCTCTGGAACCTGCACAGAAAAAGAAGGTTTGGGTCCTAGACCTATCCCACACTTGACTGGGAAGAAGCCACAAACCACTGCATCAGCTTTCTAGATGGGGATAAAAAATATATATATAATATATATTTTTTTTTTGTTTGGAAAAGAACCATTTTCTGTTGGCTGGACTTCCAAACTGGAAGGGTGTTTTGCAACAGAATACTTTTGAGCACAGCCTAAATGCCTCCAACCCCAAGAAACGAGGTGTGTTTCCAGCTACAATGTCTTTCTCTGAATTTATAGTTTTTTAAAAATTATGATTATGTCCTAAATATCTTTTACATAATAGTCAGACTTCTCTGCTGGACTGGGTCATTTATCTAAATTATGACAAATGAAAACTGAGGGGCGATCATCCTTCTCTACAGGAAGCTAGGCTTCAAAGTCTACTTCACATTTGTCTGTCTTTTAAGAATTTACCATTGTTTTAGAGAATGATGCATGAAAAGTCATAAAGCCAGTAGTTTCAAAAAAGGAAATTAAAATGCCTTGAGCACACAGGAAAGCAAAAAGAACAGTAGGGGACCCTACATGAGATCAACCTGCCCAGGGCACTACAGAATTTGGTGCATCAGTCCCCAAACTGGCTGCCACTTATCACCATCTGGGAGATCTGGACTCTTCAGTGGCTTCCTTCTGCCTGGACTAGACCTACTCCTGATTCTACCTATAATTCAAACACCAAAAAAACTCAGTTTTCCAACTGGACTTAAAAAAAAAAACCTGACAGGCACTGGAATTTCCTTTCCAGTGATCCAAGAAAAGAGAAGAGTTTGCATCAAGACAAAAAGTTCCCAAGGTGATATGATAGCAGAGATTTTTCACTTTCTAAAGACATTCAAACAGCTGTTTTCTAGACCCTAAAGATAAAAGACATTAACGAATGTCAGGAGCCCAGTGTGGTGAATGCAATAATCAATAGCCAAACTCAAAGTTGTTCACTCCCACACTGGCCAGCCATCCACACCATCACTATTAACCATTCCATCAATCACATGACAAGTTTTTTAGAACTGTTCAACTTTTATCACAAGGAGATCTTAACAGGAATACCATCATAAGCCTTATAAAAATACTTCCAAGAAAGAGGTAGAGACTAGCAGGGACAGACAAAAAGCCCATGACAGAAATTGAAGAAGGAAGCTGTTTGATAGTAAAGGCTTATCTAAGTGTACCTGGCTAGTAGAGGACATATTCTCTGTTAGCAAATGGATATGAAGTTAACATCCAAATGTCAATGATGAATCATCAGGACCAAGAAGAACTCAAATCATTATCAGTTCATAGCAATTTCTAATTTTCAAAGCATATATGGACCATAAATGTTATGTTAAAATGAAAACATTAGGTTTCTCTGCCATCAACACTTTGTATTTCAAAAGTAATGATTAATTATCAGTATGCATATATCTCTTAGGTGTGAGCTGCGTGGGCTCAGATGCTGATTTCTATTATACTAGAAGTATTAGAAGAAACAAAGAAATGAGTGTGTTCTACCTTACAACCTTAACTGTAAGACAGACCCACCACTCTATCATAAATGTCCTATTGTGCCTGAATATGACTGGTACCTGGACTATGCAATACTTTTGAGTGTGCAAATATTTAAATCAGCCCCCATGCTATTATTGTATCTCATGGGTTCTACCTTAGAGAATTTTAGAAACTGTAATCAGTTATTTATCCAAATTTATTCTACATACCTTATGGATTTTTTTCCCCAATTACTACATACTTTCTTTTTATGGTGCTAAAGATCAAACCCAGGGCCTCAAACATTCTAGTCAGCATTCTACCACTGAGCTACAACCTAGCCCGTACACTTGGTTTATACACTATGTTACCTGGTGCTTTTGCATAAGATGATTATTTTTAAGAGTTCACTAGCCACTCATTGCGAAAGATTGGTCTTCTCATCTCCAATGTCAGCCCAAGCTCTGCAGGGAGTAGACACTCTTTGTCTCTTGCACAGCTCTCAATGTGACATTCTGTAAGTGGGTCTGACATTACTGTCTTGATACTCTGTGGATTTACTTTTTGCTTGAATGTTAAAGGTAAATGTGACTATGCAACATTGAAAGGGCCAGAAAGGGAAATGAGATGAATGATGGTGAGGTACATTGTGTGTAATCT